TACCACTATGTTAATATATAAAAATTTAAATGAATTACTGTTACATGAAATACATTACATAAATCAGCCCATCAGGGTCTGGCGAATCTTCATTGCTGCGGCACAAAACCTGGCCACCTGCGCTGTGACAATAGGCTTTTTATCTATGAGCATCATTTGCATATACTCTGAATCTGGGCGACCAGGGTATTACTAATCGGAGGTAAGATGAGTTTGGTTTGGAGATCTCCGTAGAAAACCCAGCAAAGAAGGACATGGTCTGTGGTTTCCACCTCTCCGGAGTCACGAACAGTGATTCACGACTAGATCTTGTGCCTGTTTGCAATTTTTGTCGCTGTGTTTAAAGTGTTAGGATCTTAATGTCACATCAGTATTTCAGTTCCTGTTTTCTGGTCTGTGTGACCTTCTTGTTGTCCTATTATTATCATATACTTTGCATTTTATTTACTATCATTTTATATAAGCTTATATATTTGGGATTTATCATTTTAGTCAGAAAACTGTAGATTCTGCTGGTCAGTGTCCACAATAAAGGCTATTTGTTCATTTTGAGTTCACTTTTTCTTTTCTTTTCTTTAAGTAACAACTTTACTTCTTTTTCAGTTTTCCTAGATAAACATTATAAAATGTCCAGGCCAGTGCCCATCATTTCCCAGAAAGATCTGGAGAACATTTCCTTGAGTAGGACAGGCTTTGGCATCACACTCAAAGCTTTCCATGCGGCTTGGAACACTGATGTCTCTGTGAAGCTGTTGAGCAACCAGGTAGCAGAACGGAGGTGGGTTTCCTGATTGTTTGCTGAATGGGGAGGACTGCTAAATAGCACAGGCTGAGCTCACTTTGGCAAGGATTTAGAAGAAGGCTTCTGGAAGCTTACCACCTCTCTGCTCTTCTGTGAAACTGCCTCCTTTTCAGGCTTCCCCAGGAGCAGGGGTGTCCACAGGGAGGCGGTCAAAAAAGTCATATCTGTCAGGGAGCTACCTTTATTATGAGGGTGGTTTTGCCAGGGTGAGACTCATTCATTACACTCTGGGTGTGTTGATCCCTGCGATCTCCCCAAATTCAACTGCATAATTTGTGGTGGTGGGAGGCTGTGTTCATGCTTTCCCCTATGAAAAATGTTTAAAAAAAGACATAAAAGAAGAAAAAGTCAAGATGGTGGCCACAACCATGCGATTGATGTCCCACCCCCTTTTTATGTGCATTGTGTTGCATGGTTATGGCCACCATCTTGACTTTTTTGACACCCATGCAGACCCCTTTGCCAAGGAGCCTGAAGAAAAGTTACTACAGGTAGTCCTTGGTTAACGACCACTCATTCAGCAACTGTTGAAAGTTACGACAACACTGAATGAGGAGATTTACAACCAGTCCTCGAAGTTGCGGCTGTTGCAGTGTCCCCACAGTCAGGTGATCGCAGTCACCTGACATCTCGCTTAATGACCGCAACCAGGACTGCCAGAACTGCCATTGTAAGTCGGTGCAGTTACCTGATTTTCTGCTTTACAGCCATGTCACTTAGTGACAGAATTGATGGTCTCAGTTACAGTTGTTAACTGAGGACTACCTGTATAAGAAACCAACTCATCAAAGTTACTCTATCTCTTGAAAGCAGTGATACCTTTTGTGGCTCTGCTGCAATACCTGAGTTGCTTTAATGAGATGATGGTACAGGGGTGTCTGCAGGAGAGAGTCAAAAAGTCAATATGGCGGTCGCGAGTACGCAACTGAAGCTCTGCCCCTTTTTTTACATGTATCATATGCATGATGTGAGTAAAAAAAGAGTGGTGCTTTGATTACATAATTGTTATCACCATCTTGACTTTTTTAACCTCCCCGTGGTTGATCTAGCAAATCTAGTTGATCTGATGTAGCAAACAAGCAGCTATAATCAAGGGAGGGGGGGAAATGGAGGCAAATTGCTAGATCATTTTGCGATTGGAAATGGTTTTGTCTCATTCTGTCGAAAACAGTGCAAAATGCAGATCTTTTGTACCCTTGCAGAGATTTCAAGGCCCTGCTTCAAGAAGCAGCAAATACGCGATGTTTACAGTGCGACCAGCTCTTGCCCTTGTTGGGTATTTGCCAGTTCCAAGATTTCCTTGGGGTTGCAACAACATGGATGCACAATGGATCTCTCTGTTCGCTCATTCATGACGTAAGTCAGAGAAGGCAAGAGAAAAATCCCCTTGGCTAGGTCACCTTTAGAGTAGCTTGAAATATCAACCAGAAACCAATACCCAGCTCTTCCAGGTTGCTTTTGCAATGTGCAACTGGCTGCTGCCTGCCAGGTTTTTTTCCCTCGCTCCCCATCCCCCATGAATATCCCAAGTGAAATGCCTCTTGGGTAGAACTTGGTTCAGTGTAGTTCAATATGGGCAGCCCTTCCCACCAGCACTAGATGCAAATGGTGTTGCCTGTGTGAGATCAAATATAATATGGACTGGGTAATGGTAGTATTCATTTAAGAAAAGAAGAAATTCCACATGGTTGGGTGTCATTTCTCTTTTGACCCCTGGGTGTGTTGTTATTTTTGATCACTGTTTTTTCATGATCAACGTTCAATGTATTGGTGTCAATATTGACCCCCAAGTTGATGGGACTATCCAAGAAGTCGATAAGTGGCTGGGGGTCAAAAGGGGGTTAGTAAATGGCGGGGGGTCAATAGGTGGTCAATAAATGATGGAACGTTGATTGGGATCAATTAATTTTGGCGGGTCTCTGTAGAGCTCCGTGCTAGTCCCTAGTCCTGAAGGTGAAGTGGCTAGTGGTGAGGCAGTGTGATGCAGGGTTGGATGGTCAGCTGGCAGCAAGAGTGGCCTTGAGTTATCATCATCATCATCATCATCATCATCATCATCATCATCATCATCATCATCATCATCATCATCATCATCATCATCATCATCATCATCATCATCATCATCATCATCATCATCATCATCATCATCATCATCATCATCATCATCATCATCATCATCATCATCATCATCATCATCATCATCATCATCATCATCATCATCAGTTGCACAGTCAGCCAGTTGTTTAGACTGGATTTGGCATTTATATCCATCTACCGAGTCCTTCCCAAAGACCTGGGATAGGCAGATGTTGTTGTCTGATGGTGTTAGAGGTACCGTCACAGGATGGAAGCTGCTCCAAGCAGTTCTTGTTCGTGTTATCGTCTGTAGCACTACTCGTTAAAGTAGCATTTGTTCAATTATTTTCATATAATAAATGTTTGGGGGTCGACGAACAATCTAAAACTTCATGACGAGGTGGATGAGCTGAAGCGTTTGGGGACCCCTGGCGTAAAGTGAAAGGAATTTTCACTGTTACACCTTTTTTTTAAAAAAAAAAAAATTAAGAAAATAGTAGTACTGGCTCCTTTGATCTAGTTCACGGGTTTTGCTTTAGTTTTGGTTTACCGAATGAGGAACGTTTCGGTGGGTTTGCATAACATGCTAGGCCCTATTATAGATTAGCACAGCGCGTGCAGCAAATGTATCTGCATTTGCTCATAATGAGCCAACTTGGTTAGCTTATGGTAGTTTCGTGTGAACAAACAGCCTGCAGTGCATTTCTTCTGATGGGCAGGAGCGAGCAAGCAAAAGGGAGGATCTGCTTTGTGTGACACCAGCACTGGGACTTAAGCTAGTTGCTTCAAATAAGCTACCGTTCTTAAATCAAAAATAAATGTCCATTTATCATCTGAGCTGGTAGAGGCCATGCGGACCCAGCATCTCACATGAAGCAAACCGTTCTGGGTTTGTGTATCCATTTCCATTAGCAGAAACAGTAGCCCAGGGTTAGTCTGCACATCCTTAATACCATGAATATGGAAATGTGGCCCAGGTATTAAATCAGTGTTTTGAAGGACACTGTATTAAAAGAACTCTTTTTTTTTTCCCAGCGTGAACTCTATCCGGATCTGCCTCTTCCTCTAAGCATACGGATCCTGTCAGATGTTGCCACTGGCCTCAGTTATCTTCACAATTTGGAGCCTCCTATCCTTCACCACAATCTCAAACCTTCCAACGTGTTGTTAGATCTAGAATACAGAGCCAAGGTAGGCTTTTCAAACATTTCCTTTTTCTCCCTTCCTTTGGACGGGCTGTCAAAACATGAGAAAGAATGTAATTGCACAGGGGTCTCCCTGAACTAGGGAACAACCTGCCTTGTTTCCTAATCTCTCTCTCCATTTTGCAGGTCTCAGATTTTGGCCAACCCACCTGGAGAAAACAGCAGCTAAGGATGGCTTTGCAAAACTGTAACAACAACAGTTGCTGGGATTTGCTTTGCCTCTCCCCTGAAATGCTGCAGGGAGGGTACTTCTCACAAGAAGGAGATGTTTATAGGTGAGTTTTTCTTTTAAAACAGAACCTCGCGGCATCGTTGGTCAAGGTGAAGCAATGGTTCGACTGTATGGCAGTGTTAGCTAACCTGGAGCCCTCCAGGTACGGGGAACCATTTAACAATGAACCCAGCCAGGTTGCTTGTTCACTGTTTCTAGTAGGCTTGTATTAGATTTCAGAATTGGAGGAAGAGGGAAGTCATGAGTCTTCCTTCTGCCCCCTAGCAATGTAGTAGCCAGTATTTCTGGAGCCTTCTTCTCCCTTGCAGCCACGTTGTTACTGATTGCTTGGTTCCTGTTGGGATTTTTTCTTGCATGGTTGACTGATTACAGTGATGGTACAGGTTCCACACCCATGGTGATGTATTCTTCAGATAAAAATAATGCGGTTCTTCTGGACATTTTTATTCGGTGTTTGCTCCTTGTTTTACAAAAGTGAGTTGGAAAATTTGGAGAACCTCAAGCTACAGTTTCTAAATGTTACAAAAATTGAGAACTCTTGGGCTTAACAAACTCTGTTCTGGTCCAAAATTTGAGGGTACAGTACATTAAACAATATGAAATAGGATCACATCACAGACCAAATTTTTGGCCAATCTGTTGCTTCTGGAGAAGCCATAAGTAGGATACAATAATAACTGTCCTGCTTGTGTTATTCAACAACTAATATTCAGAGGCATAAGTCTGCAACCAAAGTGGAGATAATATATACAGTAGCTATCATGTGTAGTACCATTGATGGCTTTCTCTTCCTTGATTTTGCTTAATCCCTTCTGAAAGCTGTCCAAGTCAACAGCCATCCCTTCACTTGATTTCAGCAAATTCCATAGTTTTCACAATGTATCATAACAGCTCAAAACCCTGACATTAGGGAGATGTTTCTCTCTTCCATCATGCTCTCCTCTTTACTTGCATTTTTTCTAATTAAAAAAAAATTAATTTAATGTTGGAATCTTTTGACATCTCATGTTCCCACAACAGCTGGAATAAGAAAGCTGCCAGTGATGTGAAACACAGCTATTGTCAGATATTGTCAACCCTTTGAGGTAGTTGAGACAAGAAACCAAAATCATGAGTATGAACAGTACTTTTCTTGTAAGGTTACAGTAACAGAATCTTGCAAGTCTGAATGCATTTCTCCCTTCCTTTGCCTTTACTTTCCAGAGAATTAGAGAGGGTCCCTTCTGAGATGCTTTCCCCATCTCCATTCCTTCTGTGGGCTGAGATATCTCTTATCTGATTGTTGCACCAGGCTGTGGCTCCTCCTCCTCCTGTCTCCAAAGGTTATTCTCACAGACCATTACAGTACAGATCAGTGTTTCTCAACCTTAGCAACTTTAAAATGTGTGGACTTCAACTCCCCAAATCCCCAGCCAATTCCATTCTGGGAGTTGAAGTCTGCACATCTTAAAGTTGCTAAGGTTGAGAAACACTGGTACAGATATCAAAACATTTGTGTGTCTGTATGAGTGTTCTTGACACTAGGAATCTACCCTGAGCAATGATTAGTGAAGCAGGTTTTATAATGGTAACAGAAAGCAGATTGGATTTCAGGAAATAGGGAGAGGCAAAGCCCAGCGCCTGGCTACCTACATCATATCAGGGGAGTCCGAAAGCTTGTGTGCCAGGGAAGAAAGGCAGAAGAAACCTGAGATTAGCAATTTCGTAGATGAACATCAGGGAGAGATAGATAGAGGGGATCGAGAAGAAGTCCTTAACTCCCTATCTGCTATCCCCTGGTGATCAGTAGGTCAAGAGGTGCTGAGGAGACATTGGATTTGGACTTCCAGCATAACGGGCATCAGGCTGGGGAAATGGATTGTTCAGCTAACCGATGTTTCCAAATAACGCCTGGTTTTCCTTTTCATATTTGTGCCTAGTTTTGGAATGATGTGTTGGGAACTCCTAAGTCGACAAAAGCCACTGAAAGGTAAGCCATCTAACAAATATTAAATCTAAGATCATCTTCCTTTGGCTAGGTCCTTTCCTGCATGTAATCAGACTGGAATCTTTTCTTCCCTTGCTGCTGCATAATGGAAAATACTGAAAGATCTCAACCCATTTAAAATAAAATGTTATCTCTATCTCTTCCTCCTCCTCCCTTCTGCTGTAAGTGGAGCCTTCAGAGGAACGTTGCAGTAAGGCATGCTGAAAAATTGATCAAAATATGAACCAGCCCTATTCTCTATCAAGAGGCTCCTCCTGTCCTCAGCAAACTGCTAGCATGGTTCTGCAAAATCCACTGCTCTCCTAAGTTTGTTTATACAGGTACTCTTCAGTTAATAGTGGTAATTGGGACCAGAATTTCTGTCGCTAAATGATGTGGTCATAAAGTGCAACGTCACGTGACTGCATTGCCTAGTGACGGCATTCTGGCATTCCCCATTGCCGTCGTTAAGTGAGGATCACGGGTTGTTAAGCAAGTCCCAGGCGGCTTGCAAGCAGGCCATCAGGCAGGTTAAGTGGCTGCTGCTGGGGGGGGGGAGGGGTGCGGGTGGCCCAAGAGGTGCGGGGCAAGTGCAGTGGGGCCAGGAGTGGCTGCTGCCAGGTGGAGGAGAGCGCGAGCAACTTACCGGAGTGACGTGTGTCCTTCCCTGCTGGCTTCCCTATTGACTTTGCTTGTGGGAAGCTGGCAGGGAAAGTCGCAAATGGTGATCACATGACCGCAGGACACTGCAACCCAGACTGCAATTGCATGATTGTCGGGGTGCTGGGATGGCCAGAACTTTGAGGACCAGTCATAAGTTCCCCTTGCTCAGCGCTGTCCTAACTTCAAATGACTGCTGAACAAATGGTCATAAAGCGAGGACTACCTGTATTTCCCTCTTATGTGCTCCAGTATCTGTACCTTCACATACATTTTCCAGCTCATCCTAAACTCAACCTAGGAATGCATGGGAGAGGCCTGTGGGAGCTGCAGGATTTACCTTCTCCTCTTCCCTAATTTGGAGCTGGGGAAAAATATTCCTTATAACACTTTTTGGCAACGCATTTGCTTTGCAATCATCTGAGAATGGGATGACTCCTAAATTGCTTCACTTGTTCCTGCCCCATATCTTTTGTGTGCGTGTGTGTGTGTGTCTGTGTGTGCCTACCAGAAGTCAACCAGATTAATAATATGGAAACCGCGAAAGTATTGTCTGTGTTTGCATCTTTGTATGCTGCATTTACGAATAAGTTCTGTGGAGAACTGTTTAAAAAATCAGAAAAGAAAATGCTCGGTGATTTTTGGTTTAATGCTGCCCCCTTGTGTGTGTGTGTGGGTTTTTTTGTTCACTTTCACTCATGCCGTTTAAATTTCAGTGCTCCAGTATAAATGTACAGGCTGTTAACAGCAGTGTTCCTGCAGCTTCTGTACAGATTTTTTTTTTCTTACTGTAGGAAAAAAGACTTTGCTTGAAGCTGTGGCCGGAGTCTGCAGCGGCTTGCGCCCAGGGATTGAACCAGCCTTCATTCCAAATGGCTTGCCGCATCGGAACAAGCTGGTTCAACTCATCCTTTTATGCTGGCACCAAGAACCCAACTTTAGACCGAGCGCTGCAGGTGATATTTCACTTCTGCTCCTCTGACTCTGCAAAAGAGTCATTTCTTTGCCTGATTAGAGATGGGGACTCCCTGCTCCTAAAAAAAATAGTTATGTGTAAGATGTGTGCATCTGTGTAGATGTCAGGAGCAAATGACTCAACATTTGAGCAGGATCTCCCCTCTCGCATCCCTCCCCTCCCCTCCCCTTTTATTCCAGCACAGCTCTTTATATGCTTTTTCTACCTTTCTTCTCCTTCTCCTCTTCCTCCTCCTCTTCCTCCTTCCCTTTCCCCTCTTACTCCTCCTCTTCTTCCTCCTTCCTCTTTCTTCCCCTTCCTCCTTCCTCTTCCTCCTCATTTTTCTTTCACTTCCCCTCTTCTTCTTTCTCCTCTTCCTCTTCCTCCTCCTCCTCCTTCCTCTTTCTTCCCCTTCCTCCTTCCTCTTCCTCCTCATTTTTCTTTCACTTCCCCTCTTCTTCTTTCTCCTCTTCCTCTTCCTCCTCCTCCTCCTTCCTCTTTCTTCCCCTTCCTCCTTCCTCTTCCTCCTCATTTTTCTTTCACTTCCCCTCTTCTTCTTTCTCCTCTTCCTCCTCCTCCTCCTCCCTCTTTCTTCCCCTTCTTCCTTCCCCTTCCTCTCTTCCTCCTCCTCTTCCTCCCTCTTCC